TAGAGAGCAAAGTCAGCCTTGGAATCAGTTGTAGAGAAGGTAGGATTGCATTGATAGAGGGAGAGTCTTCACCTGGGAGTTTCCTGGACCAGTAAAATCACAGGCCTGTTTTCCTATGTCTATCTTTTAAGGTTCACAGAGAGGATTCCTCCCTTACCTTGACCCTGTGACTAGGTGGTACATGTATTACCATGTCCTTTTACAGATTAGAAAGCTACAGTCCAGAGGGGTTAAGGGATCTGTCCATGTCATAAGCCAGTGTCAGAGGCTGCCTTCAAAACCACGGTTCCTGATTCCAATTTCAACACTCTTTGCACCACCCACTGCCTCCTCTTATTACCACCAAATATGGTACATAAATTTAAAAGTCACCTAATTCATAATAATTTGACTTTATTTATAGCTAACCTCTCCTGTAGACACAAATAAAAGCTAGAAGTATTTTCCCTTAAACCTTGCTAAACACATTACTGCATGTTGGGTTTATAGCCATGTAAAAACACCAAGAGAAGCATTTCACTCATAAATGGACAAAGCTTTAAGATAACATGTATCAATCACTATTTAGTATGTTAGTTATCAAACTATAGAACACACACATAGTCCGTTCACTTAATAAGATACCATTTAATAAGCAGTGTTCAATTCCTAAGCCCCAAAATAGAAATTAAACAGGAGTCGCAATGGTGCTCAGTCACAAAAATACAGTGGAAATTTGATAAATGTTGCTTACAGTGAATTAACCAAACTGCATAGGACTGATGAGCAATATCAGAAAATACTCAAGTCTCTACCAGAAGTACATTCAATTAATAATAATTTGACTTTATTTATAGCTAACCCCTCCCCTAACATATCAATAAAATCTACAAGTATTTTCCCCTAAAGCTTGCTAAATATCACTGTATTGGATTTATAGCCATGGAAGGAAACTTTTATTTTTTAAAAACAAGTGTCAAGCAAGTACTAAGACAGTTCTTTTAACTTCTTTGACTCATTGCCTCATCTACAAAATGGAGGTCCAAGATTCCATTCTCTCTTCGACCACATGCACTTTTAAAAATTTACCGAAATACCTAGAGCTATTTTTGAAGTCAAGGACTATTATATTACTCCAACACTGCTCAAGAACTAACACCCCAGGGCTCCTAAAAAGACAAATAATCAAGGAGAAAGCAGCTTTAAGAGAACAGACAGAAAAAAATGACTGTTCAAGAAATCTTTTCTCCCTAACCAATCCTGAAGCTTACAATTTGGTGATAAGTTCATTTCTTTAATGGAGGACCACACTCATCAACCTCTGAGAAACGGCAAGATATTTAACAAAGCCTATGTGATGAAATGGATTAATAAAGTAACTTTGGTAAGTGACCATTCTCAACATTCAAGTTAGACTAAAAAGGAAATCCAATTAAGTACTTGAATTGAAATACAAACAAGACACCTCTGGAATCATTTCTGATTTGGTTTGGTTTGGGTTTTAGGTTTTTGTTTTTGTTTTTTTTAAAACAAGAGTCAAGGCAAGCAATTGCTACACTGACTCTCCCCTCCAGTGTCTCTACAGCTTAATATGACAGACATGATTTACTTCCCTTCTATAGTAAGACTATCTTTATTTACTAGAATTTTTGGCTCTCTAATTTCTCTCCACTCACAAGCTCTAGAGTCTCCTAATTGGTTTTCCTGCCTCAAGTCTATCTCCTCTCCAATCGAGCTATCACACAATTGCTAAATTGAGATTCCTACAGCACAGGTCGACCAACGTCCACTCCCTGCTCAATAAACTTTAGTGGTTCTCTATCACTTCTATGATCAAATGTAAACTCTTTTGTTTAGTATTTTTAAAGCCTTTTCCACCTTGACTCCAATCTACATTTCCAGGCTTATTCTACACTGCTGCCCTTCACTAATTACAGTCTAGCCAAACTGACTTTTTTGAAGAACATCTCATCTGCTTCGTATAGGTTATCCCTCCATGCCTGGAACGAACTCCTGCCTAACCACCTCTTGAAAGGCTTCATTCCCTTCAAAACTCAGCACAATCACCGAATTCAACATGAGGCCATTCCTGATCCCCTCAGCTTCAAGTATCACCCCCCTTATTATTTCCTTGTCCTAATTTATCTACTCCCCCAATAGAATGTAAGCTTCCTGATAGCAGGGACTGCTTCCTTTTTTATCTCTGTATCCCCATCATTTAATGCAAAGGCATAATCATAAGCATTTAATAAACCCTTACTGATTGATTTACTTAATTAGTATGGTGAACTTCCTCTGCCTGTGTAGACTTAGATGACTTCTGACTTCTAATTCTATGAAATTAGTCATGTGTCACTTAAAGACTGGCCTGGGGCACAAAGACATTAAGTAATTTGCCCAGAGTCACAAAGCCTCTGTGTGTGCCTAAGGTGGGACTTAAATGGGCCAGTCCTTTATCACATTTACTACACCTATGGTATCCAACTCCCAAAGAAATGGGGCCCACTAATCCTTGTGAACAAGGATCCCTACAGATCTAATATGGACTTCATTTTACTATGTAATGTTATCTACACTGTATTGTATTTTTATTTATTTTGTTGAATACTTCCCAATTACACTTGAATCAGGTTCAGGCCTGCATCTTTGACACCTCTGTTATGTATCATACTAAGCAGATTCTACCAGGGTAATACAGGGAAAAGAGCACTGGACTTGGAGTCAGAAAACCTACGTATGAATCAAAGCACTGACATTAACACCAGACATATGATGGTGAGTCAGCTGTTTAACCTCCCTGGCCTTTAGTTTCATTATCAATAAAATGAGGACTGCTATCTCACAGTTAGGAGGAAAGCACTCTATAAAGCATAAAGTACTATATAAAGGCAAACTCAGTCACAATAACGAAACTAAGAGGTGAAATAAAGTGTGTATCCTCGATTTCTAAAGCAAACCTATAACTATAATATTTTTAAATCATTATAATTGTACCTTGGTCTTAAATGTAGCAGGGGAGCTCCCTATTTAAAGAAAGCCTAGAGTGAATCCTTTCACAAATTGAAAATATGATTTTATAATAGGAAAAATCACTCCTTCATTTGTCTACTTTGAGAGTTTATATTTTCATATAAGCAGAACACACCTTTTTCATTTCCCACCTGCTCCCTTTACATTTGGCCCCTCAATAGGTAGATCATGATAGACCTGTAGGTCTCAGAGCTTTAGGAAGTCAATGTGCTGCAGGCTGACCATTATACTCCCACTCTCCTGGAGAAATCCCACAAGGGCACATGCTATACACACACACACACACACACACACTCTTTATATGACTTTAAGGAAATCAAAAGTAGGCTCTTAGGAAAAGATAGAAGATGCCATTCTTACAAAAGGTAAGGAGCCACATTTGTATCAAGCAAAACAAGTAATATGAGGAGATATTCTTCTGACCAAAGAGTGATGTCCCGAAGGCAGGATGATCTTTTCTTTTCGAGATCAAGGAACGTGATCCCCCTAATCAACTCATAGAATAGTAGATAGGATACTTCGGTACCTGGAAGACCTGGGTTCACATCCTGCCTTAGTCAATTACCAGTTATGTGACTCTGAGCTTTCTTCATCTATAAAATCAGAGTGGGAGAGGGAGGGAGAAAAGGAGGATGGCCTGGATGGCCTCAAGTCCCTTCCAGCTCTAAATCTATGATCCTGAGATTCCATTCAGTGCTGATAGATGATTCTGGAAAGAAGCCAAGTGTTACAGTGGAAAATACACTATACTCTTGAGTCAAAAGGCATGCCCTTATTCTGACATTATAGGACACCAGTTATGGGATACCAGTCAAGTCACTTACTTCTCTCTGGGCTTTAGAATTAGATGCTTTCTGAGGTCCTCTCCAGCTCTGTGATTTTCCTAAAGTTCCAATGAATAGTACTTAATTGCTGGAAAGCCTGTGAGTTTCCCTGATAGTAATGATAAACTTCATCCTTCTGAAGACTGCAACCCAAATCAACAAGAAGGGTAAAATTGATGGGAAATGACACCATCTTCAGAACCTTTAGTTTCCTTCCTCATTGTTCCTTCTCTTCCTTCTCTATTCCTCCCAAAAATCCCCCCCCCCCAAAAAAAAGCACTTCATTCCTTTTTCCTTAACTGGCCAAAACACAACACTTGTCTGTTTAAAATTTATTTGCTGAAAATATTAAATGGTGCTTTAAATCTCCCCAGCCTATTCTTAACTGAAAAACCAAAGGAGATGACATTTTATATTTCATTCTAAAAGACCAAAGGATCCTTATTATTACCTTAATCCCTAGCCCTGCTTACACTTGCACAGAGCAAAATCTGACTTCCTTCCAAATTATTTCGAGCAGCCAGGATCTTCACATTCTTTCGGATGCAGACAACAGTATTTCATGTCACTTAGGATCCATATTCCCTAATCAATATGAAACAATTTACCACAAAACCCATGACACTCAAGCGGATATAGTACTACTTAGTCACTTGGATCCAACTTTAATCAAACGTGCTCCATTCATTGGGAACTAAGGACAAAACCATTCTTAGACGTGGCCAAGCTATGCTGAAGTCTGCAAAGTTTAAAGTCCCTTAGTTTAGGACATTGCTATGCACACTGTGGGTGCTCCATAAATACTTGGTGACTGACTAAGAGGTCAATTATCATGCCTTGTAAATTGCCAGTCTCTCTCTAGACTTTTCATGTGGGTGTGCTCTGCAGTGATTTTTATTTTCCAAAACAGCTACCTATATAACCAAGAAGCTGTTACTCTCAAATTTTGCAAACATTCCCTACAGTAGCAGCACCCATGTCTACTGAGGTGAACTACAACAAACAAACCTAAGCCTTAAAAACACTGCCAGAATGATGATTTTCTGTTATTTACACTCTTATCCACTGGGGGGGGGGGGGAATTAAAAGTCTCAAAAACTGCCACGGAGTAGCAAAACATTTTCCCAAAGAAAACTGGAAAATAAGCAAAACAAAACAGAAACTTACTTTTCATAGACCAGCTCCTCATCGGTGGAGAAATAATGGGTATTTATTGTGCTTTTTGGTCTATTCCTTAAAGTAGCAAAATATAAACGATCTGAAAGACAAGTTTAAAAGAGAGAAGAAAATATATCAGAGGTGGAATCACAGATGTAGAGCCACCTCAGAGGCCACCTAGCATAAACCCTTCATTTTACAGATGAGGAAACCGAGGCTGTGGAAGATTATGTGATTTGCCCAAGGCTAGTAAGCACTAGAGATGGAATCTGAAGCCAGTGCCCTGTCTATCCACTCACTGAGTGAGGAATGAGAACTAAACAGCAAAGGATGCAGAAGAATATACAGAACCAAAATAATAATAATTTCTTGGATTTAAAGAACCTCCTTCCCACCACCAAAAAAATAAAAAATAAAACAAAAACACGTGGAATTATTGTCTCAAACTGGTCTCCTGGCTGCTAGCATCAGAAATTGGAGAACACTTCAGTGAAGGAAGAGAGGAGCAGCAGAGGAAGAGAGAAGGGTACGAACTCAGAGATCGCCTCTCGTCTCCTCTGTCCCAATTAAAGGGAGTTGGGGATACAACAAAAGAAACAATTTTCGCTCCAGGGCCGCTCCAGACCTAGAGACTCCCAAGGGGAGGGCTATGAAAAAGGGGTGGGAGGGGGAGACAAAGGGGTGTGGCTTGGGGAGGGGGTGGGGTCCAAAAAGAATAGAGAGGTCCGAAGGATGGGGAGAGCAAAGCCAGGGGAGGGGGACAGAGCCCCTCGGGATGTCCCAGGAAGGCCCTCCTGCTGTGTAAGAATCTCAGAGAGGGATGGGTCGGGGGGAGACAGCTGCTGCAGGGAGATGGGCTCAGACCAAGGACCTAGTCCGGGAGGCGGGGAACGACCAGAAGCCGGAAGCGGCAGGGGGTCCCTGGGGAGCAAGGGGGCACGAACCCAGAGAAGTAGGGAGAAGGCCGGCTGTTGCTGGGGCGCCCCCTTGACCGAGAAGCTGCGTGGCCGGGACAGGACGAGACGGGACGGGACGGGACGAGACGGGACGGGACAGGACGGGACGGGACGAGACGGGACGGGACACGGACGGGACAGGGATTGGATGGGATGGGATGGGATGGAAGGGACGGGGCCGGGGGCCGGGGGGCTGCCCCTCACCTTTCAAGAACTCAGAAGCCCCGATTAGGTCTCCGACGTCCGCTGCCATCTTAAGCAGGAGCCGTGCTCCAAAGGGCTTGATCGTGACTGGTTTCACCCACCCCCCGGGGAGTTCCCCTCTTCCCCAGAGCCAAAGAGCTCGGAGCTCTGAGCGCGAAGCCAGGCGGAGAGAAAAGCGGCGGCTGCAGCTACGGCGGCGGCGGCGGCGGCGACAGGAGCGGGAGCAAAAGGCGGAGGCTGCTGGGGGGTCAGCGCGCGGGGCGCCCCGGGGACATTCCGAGGGGAGCCCGAGCTCGAGCCCTGCCTGCGCGGGGCGCACACTCCCCCGGCCGCCGCTGCACCGCGCCCGACCCCGCTCCGCCGCCGCCGCGCCTTGAGATACGCAGACCAGCTCTCAGGTCCGGGCAAAGTCTGCTCCCGGCCCCCAAAGTGATCATGGAGGAGGAGACTACTGGCCCCGATCGCGCCCGTGACTACTTGTGCTGCAGGCAGGCAGGCGCCTGGGTGCCTGCCCGACTGGCAGCCGCTGCTCCTCGTCTGCCTTCAGCCCTTTCTCCTGCTTCTTGTTGTCCTGCTGCTGCTGCGGCTGCTTCTGCTTCTTCCCTTCTTCTCCTTCCTCCTCCTCCTCCTCCTCTAGGTCCACCCCCAGACCTACCTCCCCGCCCTCCCCCCCCTTCCTCCACTTTCACCGCTCCGCGGCCATCCCTTAAAGAGGCCGCCCTTCTCCTATCTCCCCCCCCCCCCCAGCCCCACGCCAGAGTAGTTACCAGGCGCCCAATCGGGTCACTAGGAGCCGGTTGCTAAGGCTTTGTTACAGCTCACCAATTGCAGCAGAGGAAACTGCGCCCTAGGCCGGGAGGAACCGGGAGGGGCCTCTAGGCCAGAAACTTGTGAATGGAACATTGGAGTGAGAGGGGAAGGTGGGGGAGGGGCGCTGCCGTAAGACTCGGATGCTCTAAGATTAGAATCCCTTCCTTAGCTCTCTCACTAAATCCTCTCCTGCCTCTGGTTCTAAAAGCCCCGGCATCTAACTTAATGTATTTATTCCTCCCTCCCGTTGCAATTACCCACCTCCTAACCACTTTCCAGCCCAAGATACTTACTCCTGCTGTACCTAAATTTTCTTTTAGCTTTACTTTGCGCAATACCCTCTATCCACCATATATACCTCTTCCCACTATCTTTGGGATTTCCTTCTTTAAAACGAAAAAAGTTATTCCCATATCCTAGAAGAGGAGGTGATGAGGGATTACCCTCAGGATTTTCAGATGTTCTCAAATTCTATCAAATTCGCGGGGGGGTGGGGCGGAAGAAGAGGGGAGTGGAGGTTCCATTCAGATTCCCAGAGCTTGCTGGCTTAACTTTGCTCAAAGGCATCATCTCAAGTGCCTCTTTCAATGGTATTTTAGGGGAAGGAGAAAGGAGGTGGAGAGGAAACGGGACAGCCTCCCCCACCCCACCCCCAAGAGTGGCAGATCTTCAGGAGGAAAGTTACACAAAAACATTTCTTTTCTTCTTCGCATCTGTAGCTGCGTCCCAGAGAGCGCAGTCTTTTACCTAGAACCTGGCTTATTTCTGCTTAAAAGGTGCTAACACTTATGCAAAAATTAGTGCTTTCTCTTATATGTTACATTTTTTCGTCTAATTAATTGTCACTTGCCTATTCGAAAATAACACCACTGACGAGTTCTTAACACTTATAAAAACCAGGTCTTGCTGTTATAGTATATGGTTAATTAGTTGTCACTGTTGCCTTTTCGAAATTGATGCCACTGACCTTCCACCATTAGGACACCACCGGGAGTGGTGGTGAATGTTTGCTGTTGATCCCTCCGCACACTTCCCACTAGTCTCAGCCGAGAAAGGGGATAAATTTATTGAAAGGAGCATTAAGGGTGAAATCTGTGAGGAAACTAAGCTAATTGGCGTTACACTAATTAGCGGGTCACTATAACCAACTGACTTCCAAGAGCCTTCAAGACAGAAGACTGTACCTTTAAGGAAGGGTGTTTCCTATTCTGAATATTAAAGTGTTTGAAAATTCTCATTAATCCTTACCAGACCATTGTAAAATTAATAAAAATTGAACACAGTCCTGACATCCAGAAGTCTGAACACTAAGCACCTCTAAACCTCAGAAGTGTTTTTAAAATACAAAGGCCTGAGAATGTGTTGTGCTGTTGAGAATACAAAGTAATTCTGGACTAATGAGGGATACAACACACATTGAGTTATATTCCATGTTTTGCAGATCACAGATTGAGCAGTGATGTTCTTAGTGAATGAGTCATCTCCCAAACCTTGTGTTCATCTAATCACTAGGTTTCAAACTGATATTCTCCTAGATGCTATCAGCCTGGTTTTCTGCCTCAGAAAAAAAAAAAAAGGCAGTTAATAATAGCTAACATTTATGTAGCTCTCACTATGTGCCAGTCACTGTGCTAAGCACTTTACGATTATTATCTCATTTGATCTCACAACTCTGAAAGGTTTACTGTTAGTATCCCCATTTTAAAAATGAAGAAACTCAGGCAAACACAGGATAAGTGATTTGTCTAGGATCATACAACACTGCTAAAAAGTGTCAGGGGCCAGTTTTGAACTCAGATCTTCCTGACTCCAAGCCTAGCACTCTACCTACTGTGTGCCACCATCAAGAGCTATGTTCAAGCAGTCATATGTAAATTACCCACTAACTCATAAAGTTAGTTTGAATTATACCTGTTGCAGTAAATTCACATGATTTCAAGAATCAATCCTTTTATTCTCCCAAACCACAAATGTAGAGCTGGAAGAAACTTGAGAATTATTCAGCCCCATCAGTCAGTCAGTCAACAAAGCATTTATTAGATGCTTACTATGTGTCACCGTACTAAGACCTGTGGGAATACAAAGAAAGACAAAAACAAATTGTGCTTCTAAGGAGCTCGAAATCTGATGGAGGATACTATACGAAAGCACAACTATGTACAAACAAGGTATAGATACAGGATAGATTAGAGATTATCTCGGAGGGAAGACATTAAGATTAAGGAGGACTGGGAAAGACCATTGGCAAACGGTGAGATTTTAGCCAAGGCTTGAAGGAAGCCAGGGAAGCTAGGAGTCAGAGATAAGAAGGGAGAGGAATGAGGGGCAGCCAGCGAAAATGCTCAGAGGGAATGGAGTGTCACGTTTAAGGAACAGCACTTTGCAAATGATGAAACTGAGGTACAGAAAAGATGTTTCACTTGGTCCCAAAAGTCCTAAAGTTAGAAAATGTCAGAGACTGAATTTGTAACCAACCAAGTCTTTTGATTCCACAGTCTTCCTTCTATCATACTGTATTTCCTGACACTCCTCACCCTCACTCAGATGAGTGTCTCCAAAAACATGTATGTCACTTATTTTGAAAGGCTACCTCTGACTCCTTAGTCCATTTCAAGAGGAGGTTAGTGCCAAAGTTTTGAAAAGCCAGTTGAGGCCTAGATATCATGGGGGGCAGAGGGCAAGGGGAGAGATGACAATTCATTAAAATTCATTAAAATCTTGTAGTTTAGCCCTTATCTCTCAGAAGGACCTATTGCCAGAATCTTGATATCAATACAAATTGGACCAATTCAAACCCAACATGTATATTAGAATTCTATAATTTATGTCTGACATGCAAAAGAGAATGAAAAGTAAAAGGCATAATTCGAAGAATTTAGTGGTTTCCTTCTCTTAACGTATATATCATTGTTTTAAAATTTTACTTGTAGTCCAAATGTGTCAGCTTCAACACTAGAATTTCTAAATCTCATTGATATAAAACAAATCTTCCCTAACCTATCTTCCTAACTGGCTTTATGTTTACAAGGAGTCTAAGAAGAGATTTGTGGGTTTTAATTTATTACATAGCCCTTTTTAAAATTTTACATTGTGGACTTGAGTAGTCCCATTCTATATATTTATAGAAATTCAAGAGGCAACTGGGTAGCACAATGGATAGCTCATTGGCCCTGAAGTCAGGAGGACCTAAGTTCAAATCTGGCCTCAAACTTGTACTAGCTGTGTGACCTTAGGCAAGTCACTTAACCCTGATTGCCTAAAAAAAAAATCTGTGTGGATGGATCACAGATCCAGAGTTGGAAAGGACCTCTAAAGTCAATCTAAATTAACCCCCCCCCTTATTTTACAGCTGCAGAAACTGCACCCAGGAAGTTAATTTTTCCAAGATAACACAGTGAGAAACCAGCAGAGGTAGACTTTGAACTCACATCCTTCAAGTCCAGAGCAAGTTCTCTGCCACACTGCCTCCTATGCCTCAGGTATCAAAGGAAAGTTAAACAAAGCAAAATATTATTTTCAAAGTGCATTTCAAATCAAATTTCCCTACTATAATTATTTCACCCAGCAATCAAGTTCATATCATTAAGCTAGTTATTAGAGCAGATAGAATGAGGCATGAATGAACATCCCTAAATTTGACCAGTATATAGGGAACTCCTTTTGTATAATGGCAAAAATAACTAAAAGGCATAACAGCATTTTTTTCTCAAAAGATTTCCCACCCATGGTCTAACGGTACACTTCAGATACTTCAGAAAAAAAAAAAAGTTTTCATTATCTTACTATTAGAAATCCGAGAAAGCAGGGATTCAAAATGAAAGCAATCAGGGGCATCTGGGTGGCACGGGGTTAGAGCTCCAGCTTTGGAGTCAGGAAGACCTGAGTTCAAATCCTGCCTCAGACACATAATACTTATAAGCTGTGTGACCGTCACTTAATCCCATTGCCTAGCAAAAAACGAATCAAAATGAAAGCAATTCCTCCTTCCCTCCCCCCCACCTTACTAATATTTTGTGAATACTGTGATGATGAAAAATAAAAAGGAAATACATATCCAATAAGTGATGATAAGTAATGAATATCTTACCTAAAAAAAAATCAGCGTGAAGAACAATTAGTTACTATCACTTTAATAATGACTTTCCTAGTTAAAATCTACACAATTAGTGAAAAACAGAAATTTCTGAGAGACATAACAACCTCCCCAAAATGTTGTAAATGAACCAGCCCATACAAAGTTCTAATGATGTCACAGAACCATTGTTTTCTCAACTAGCATGGTCAAAGTCATCAGATGTAGCCTTATAATAGTACCAAGGTTATATGCCCTAAGGAGGAA